GAGATTATAGGTGGTTGAAGGTCCTTAACAAGAGAAAAATATTATTTTACTCGTTTTCTGAACAGTATATCTAAACATTTAAAACATTAAAGAGTAAGTAAAGTGAAAATAACGGTAGGGCGTAATAAACAAAGACTTCATTTATTTGATTTTCCAGAGGATAATTAGGGACGAATTTCAGCAGCTGATGATACAAAATTTGAAATAATGTATTCTTATTGAATAAGACTGACAAGATAATGAAATTATCAGAAGATTAATTTAACGATTCACATAATCTTGTTGGTTATGAAACAAAATCTACGATTTCATGAACCAGGTGTTAAGTTGTACAACTGTGATAAATTGCAGTTTCAATTATTTTGCACCAATATTATTTATTCCCATTTTTAATATACTCCAGCAGCATACAATTCCACCTATTTTTGGTTCATACTTCTGCGACCCTTTTTGTTATTTAGATACCACGATCTTATTGAATAGTTTTGCTTGCTCAAATTAGTATATCAGTTTAGCCAATAGATCGAAAGTTCTTCAGTGCCTGACAGGTAATATGTCATTGACTACATAGTGTGAAACTTAACTCTTGATAAATGCTCACAGTCCCGTTACTTGGTTGAGTCAGTCATTTGAATGTTTAAAGGATAAGGGATACGTTGAGTTTATCACTACCTCTGTCCAAAATCTCTTCTTACGTAATGGTCTCAAAGCTAATGAACAAGAAGTAGAGGATATGGTACTAAAGTATATGTGAAATCACAAGCTGATGTATAGTAATGTACAAAATCCAAGCTGACTAATAATCGTGGGAGATACGCAGCTTAGTGTGCCCGTTGGAATGGATTTATATCAACACTGACAATAGAATATCCACCAGTTTTACCACAGCAAATTAAAGCCAAGAGTCACATTAGAGAGATAAAATCTGCATCGTATTGAGATAACTCTAAATTATCTATAGTGTCGATCAGTCAACATATCTCAAACATTTACAGATCAACATAATAAGGTAATATGACCACATACGGTTACGCTCAGTAACCAAGCTTGTATCCTGGCACGATCTCGGTATTATTTCGATGCCACGAGATCGCCAGCAAATATATCTCGACTTGGTTCATTAACTGCCTTCTGATATTTGGCTTCCGGGGGATTTTATGGATATCCTGGCACGCGTTCCTTTGTAGCAGTGTTCATAGTCAATCGCTACTCGACACCACGCTACACTGTAATCATCTGTCTATTTTTAGTCATGAGAATGAGTGGAAAGGTAGGACACATTTTGTTCTAAATTTTCAATATAGGCTGTCAGCGTACCATTTGCGATAACCATCATCAAACCAATCAGAATACATTTCAGAGCTGAAAACTTTAGGTAGATTTTCAATCCATGTCACTCAGGTTTAGCATAATGTGTAAATTGAGTGTTTAGTTTCACGACATAAAATAGAAAGGGGTTTGACAGTAATCAGCACAGAAATCAAAATTAACAACGTGTGTGCACGTCAAAAGAGGAACTCAAGGAGTTTAACTGAGTATTAACTGTTGTCGTGAATATCATTATTTTCACTGGGTTTTATTTTTATTTTACTCAGACCTCGCACCTGTTTGTTTGTAATTTCAAGCTTGGATATTTTCGGTGTAACACTATTTCTGATTGTGTTTCCCTTCAGATGTTGACGTCTTCGTGATCCATTCGATCATCAGGAGAAAGGAAAAGGGTGAGAGTAAGTAACCTTGCCTGACACCGGTCTTTACTTCGAACGAGTTTGTTAACTGTCCTCCATGCACAATTTTGCAGTTTAATCCATCATAGGAATTCTGTATGATATTGACTATCTTCTGAGGCACGCCGTAGTGTCGAAGAAGCTTCCATAGTGTTGTTCCGTCTACGCTATCAAATGCTTTCTCGTATTCAATGAAGTTGATAAAGATTGATGAATTCTATTCACTTGATTGTTCCACAATGATCCGTAGTGTTGCGATTTGGTCGGTACACGATCGGTTCTTACGGAATCCGAGAAATCGTGATGTCAATATTAAAAGAAGTAAAAATAAAAACTACTTTTGAGATCGTTATTTATCGCTCAAACCGTCTGTAACTCTAGTGATTCTCGTTCAGCAATTATGATTTTGTCTTGACGAAAATTAGCCGATAAACGAAAGTCTTATGACTAATAGGCGATTATGAACATCTCCATCATAGAAATCAAGTCGCCGTATGTTCAATACCTTCACCTGACAGAGACTTTCTACAAAATATAAAAGGCACCTCAAAAAGAACGTCCAAGTTAGGTGATTAGAAGTAATGGGATTCCGCATGGTATCTAGTAATACCCTGAACTGAGCAACTTATACACTAGCAGTCAGGTATGGGCCACTATTTAAATCAGAAAGCACTGCGCGAGCGCAGACGAAGGTAAACAATTGAAATTCAAGTAGCTCATGGAATAATGCACAGAGTAGTCATTCTTATATACGAACGTTAAATCAAGAAACACAACTCAGTCAGAGGAGTGAATACAAAATGGTCAGAAATTCAACCGATGAAAACCACAAACAGTGAGAACGAAGCCCCATCAGTAAACTTTTTGCAGGAAGAGACTGAATAGGCATGTACAAAATCGTAGATTTTCCTCGTTCTACTGGAGCAGTACCTCCTCACTTAGAACTAAATCCTCACTTCTTCTCAAAAGCATTAGCTTATCCATACGATTCTTATTTAATAACTTATTCTTATTTAAAACAATTAGTCCCTTTGATAAATTTCGATAATGATATTAGAAGACGAAGATTATCAGAACTATGTGATATATTAGCGCAATACATTTTGAACAGTCTGGTCACACATATACTTGTTAAGAGCATTTATAATTGACCTTTTATTTTTATATATAAATGCTCTTAACAAGTATATGTGTGACCAGATTATTTTTATTTACTTATGTGTAAGTGTATTCATAACAACAGTCGAGAAATGTGAATTTAAAATGCTGAAGGTCTTGTCGGGATTTAGGCGCAAGATCATGAGTTCGATTTGCTAGATTTCCGAATTTCATTTGCACGTGAGGGTAACTGGTTTCGGAGGTGATATTACAGAACTTGGGATCTAATGATACGGCCTGCATTTGGATTAACGAAGTGTAGCACAAGTGTGATTATTTACGTACGTTTCGGCATGTTCTGAAAAATTCCTAGTTACGTGTGTAGTGGCATTAGGCCCTAAATACACAATCCTCGAAACTCAACACGAGACAAGTGGAAAAATAGGTATTCAATATTTACTGCGGAGAAAAACCCAACGATGAAGAAGGCGGGAAGAGGGAACTGAATTCATTCGAATTTATCGGACGGCATGGCTCGGGCTTGCAGGCGTGGTCACCCTTGAGTGCTGTCTTATATCTTTTACTCATATTACATATATATTGTTCTATCTCTAGCCTAAGTTTGTTCTCCACCATATAAGGGTGATTATTTCGAGGAAATGAGTTGGTGCAGACGATGATATGACTTCCACGTAGGATCTTATATATTAGGCAGTTACATCATGATAAATCTACAGATTTAGATTTAAGTCTATTATTAGAGTAGTGTTTACGCTTGGCTTTTTGTGACTGTGTTTCAGTAAAACTAGCAAAATAATCCCCAAATAGTTTACGTTCATCTAACCATAGTTCAAACAATGAGTAACTTCTCAGAGATATGTTGCGTTTTAGTGCAACTAGTCGAGATTTAATAGCGTCGATACAATTAAGTGCCTGATGTTTGAGTGTTTTTCCATTGGAATGAATATGGCTTCTCTTTAGTGCCTTCCAGAAATGTTTAGAATAATCAGTACTTTCGAAGAAATAGATTTCACACTTCACTAATGCACTTTTGACGGTGTGACATCGAAACCCATCGTCGGGGGATCCTTGCATTTCTTCGACAGGCATAAAATTCTCATTTAAACATTAAAATCACAAAGTCCAGCTAAGGGATCTCTTTTCAACAGATTTGGTATCAAGCTGTACAATCGTATGTATAGGAAAAATTGTGCAGCTTGATAATAAATTCGTTGAAAAGAGATTCCTTTGATTAAGATTTCTAATGGTCAAATATTAGTCCATCGAAACGTCATATTATGAACATTTTTTATCCTTTGACACAGGGATCGTACTTCCGCTGTAATAATACGCTTCCGATTGTCATCTCAGAACGTGATGTCGGGATTTAGCAGAGGTCAACGTAACTCTCTAACCTATTTGAAGGCAAATCGACGTGATCATCTCAGATTTGTTTCTACCACTGTTTAAAACGTACGCTCGGCCTTACCTTGAAGTCCACAACGTTCTTATACTCTCACTTTAAAAGACTTAAATCCCATAGGTCAAGTACAGGGACAGGCGACCAGTAGGTGATAGGGCTAAAACATGAAAAGACAGGCTTCAACAATCTGAATTAACCTCGTTGAGCTGTAGGAGAATATGAGGTGGTTCAATAATGGCATTCAGCAAATTAAGTTCTTCAACGCCTACCAACACCAACATACTAGCAGAACATGACCGCCACGCCGCTCGGGGTAATCAATGAGAGCCTACACATCTCAGAACGAAAACTGAGGTACGCACTCACCTTTTTTTACCAAGATTCGCCCCTACTTGGAATGCTGTACAAGTCGAAGTGACCCAGCCCCCTCATTCGACAGCTTCAAGAGGTGAATTGACAAATACGTACTCATCCATGGATTACTGTCACTCTTAGACCATCCGTGCCTGATACACGTCTCATAATTTAAGATTGTTATCACTGTAACACATCAGTAACTACTTTCCATCTTCCTTATTATCATCCACATTCTGCTCTTACACTTCGGTCTTCTTACACTATCCTCAATACCAACGAATTGACCTTTTTATCTATTTACTTGCTTATTGAGAGAATCATATCCTCTTAGTGTTCGAGTTTTGATTTCATTATCTTTTACGTTGCAACCGATAGATCAACTTCCTGGTTATTTGATAGCTACTGGTATCTTGAATCCCTGCACAATCAATCAAATAAAACGATATACAAATTCACAAACAACTACTAAACTGACGAGAATTAGTGTATTTTAGTGGCAAGACTACTACTCGTTAAACAAAACCAAATGCTTGGAACCGTACCGAAACAACAAGAAGCGAGCTCAAAGAAATTGGACCTTGGAATGTTGCGGTCAACATGAAGGCTACGTTACTTTGTTCTGTGTTTAAAAGGTTAGTCTATACATTTCCCCAAAATATCAGTTCATCCTACTGGAAAAATGTTTCTGTGGTGAGGATAGTATAACATAATATATCGGTCGGTCTCATAACCATATATTCGTGACAGCCGAAAGTCTTTCGAAAAGCAGACGTGAAACACATGAAACTAACACCTAATATATAAGTACTTCCACGACCGTATTAATTGTGTGGATGGTAATCATCACAAAATGCTGCATAATTATTCTCGCGAGTGAATTTTTTTCCAAAATCACTTTTGTATCTTTACTAGCCAGAATTTTCAAAACTTATATGGACTACCGCTTTACCACCAGGTACTGTTTATTACCAATCCCCTCTGCATCAACACTTAGCGTACTTCCTACGACAGTCACAACTTTTTGTACTGTAGTGGATATTTCACAGATCAGGATATTCAGTAAACACTGGTCCTTCAAAATTGATACTTCCTAATCTCCGTATTGTAGGAAAATCCTGGGGAATTTTGGGGTTTTCCTCAAAATCATACAACAATCCATACGTTTCCACAAAGCGTGGTGAAATGTGGGGGGAAACCCTCCAAAATGTCCTAGATATCTGTTAGGTTTTAATGGTAACAAGATTTGGGTTTGGAGATTTGTGATTTTGACTTTTAACTTGGCACATTTGAGAAGTTATCGCGAGAACAAGATCTTTAAAACTTCAAGTGATAACGCTAACCCTCCATTTCGTGGTCTGAACAATTAACCAAATCATTTGGTTTATCTTTAGTAATAACACCACTTTTCGTCATGTTATGTCAGAGCAAACCAGTGTAAACGTTTTTTAGGTTTTTTGATAGAATTTATGATGGAGAGGCGACGTAAGATCAGGCTTTGAAACAGAAATGCTACCTAATTCAGTCGGTCTTAAATCTCATAATTCATGGGAATAATTTATATTCGTCGAACTTGTCACAACTCACTACAGCACGGCGAGACTAAAGCAATTAAAAGCAAAGATGAAAAATGATGCACAATGGAAGTAATAAACTAAGCGTAAAGTATAAAGCTGGAAAAGAACAAACTTTGTAGGGGAGTCAAATGTGTGGAACGATACTATATTCAGGACCTGAGAGAAAATAAGACAGCAGAACGATATTTATTCGCAGATCAAAACACATTAAAAACTATGTAGAAGCAGTAATGTAGTTTGCATAACACATTTGTAAAGTGTATATTGTGCGATTTGTTCGTTTTTCTCTTTAAAATGGTAGTATATTGGTTTGTATTTCTATGTTCGTCACTTCTATATTCCTTTTTAGCTTGTGCAACAACTTTAAATATATGTTCTAATTCATTTCAATAATGGCATCACCAACATTGATACTCGATATGGGTGGTGGATCACTGAAAATTGGATTTTCTACAGATCCTCATCCCAAGTAATTTTTGCTTTTTCCGTAGAATCGTCCTTATTTTCCAAAAGAATTATCGATAATTCCATTTTTAAGTCGAAAACGCTTGGTGGTCGTACATTCGTTGGAAATGAAATAGAACAATGCAATAATTTGTCGAGTTTATTTTGTGTCATGCCATTCAAAAAAGTGAGTATTGTGACGTTCCTGTTAGTCAAATGCTTCATTTACTCCCCTAGTTAACCGGTTTTTTTCTATTAAGCTCGAAAAGCTACCATTTGTTCGTATAACTAGTTGCCTAAAAGTAGCTTTTCCATAGGCATACGAATCCTAGACCCAAAGATGTAACCGTTTACTTCCACCACTCGCTCATAAACTATAAGCTGACGTCACTTAGTTTGATTTGTTCATCCTAGTGTTATTTCTGCCCGTTATACAACGAATGTGGTTTTATGCCTATATTATGACAAACTATTTATTTATTTATTTGAACACATAGATTTTGGTACAAGGGGGCACCAGACACATATGCGCCACACAAATCTCACTTGATTTGTGTGAGGGCTGTGATGCTCTTCGGGTGGCCAAACCGAAGCAGGTGGTTTGCTTAGGGGGCCACACCCGAAGCCTTCGACCTAAAGATCTGATCCACAAGGCAGTGGAGCATCATAAGAAAATGCAGTCCCATGGTAGCCGGTGATCAACGATTGGTTCATATGCCATTTGTTCCCTCAGGATACAGGAGCCCATGTGTACCATTGGTTTGGAATCAGGATTTTCCAACTCCCCTAGGTGGACTCCATGTCCATCAACCCAGTCAAAGCACCGGACATTCGCTTTTCTTCGTCTCAATTTCGTAAACGTACTAGTATACATAACATCAACACTAATCACGTCTGATAAGATCCAGACATGGATTCAGAGGCTAGTCGGCCTTTATCAACTTACGTCTTTTGTGGTTTAAGCGAGATGTCCGTCTACCAGTCAGAAGGGCGTGTATACTACACAGTAGTTTTCTCGGTACTGCTTTATGGTTGTGTAACATAGCCTTTAAAGATGGGGGATATTGGTAGGTTATTAGTATTTGCTAACTGGTGTTTTCGATACATTACTCTGATATCGTGGGACGATTAAATGAGCGGTGTTGGGTTTAGGCATAGGGTACTAGGCAAGTCCACAAATCGGTTTATGAAGTTATGAATCTTCATTGACTAAGATGGTTGGTACGTATATTACGTATACCGATTCACTATCTACCTCAGTGCACAATGTTAGCCGGTGTAGGAGTGGGTTGGTAGAAAGCTAGAGACCCCTGAATCAATATAGCATCAACCCATGAAGTAATTGACTACTAATTTGAGCTATCCTTGTAGATGACTACCCGGACGGGGTTCGCTTGATCACCATAACAAGTGGTTGGGGATTTTAGTGAAAAAATTCGAGGTCATTAGCAGTTGCACAGATGCACCTACTCTTTGTCTTCATTTAAAGTTTAAAGGCTATACCTTTTATTCCACGGATTCATTATTCTTGAAATTTGTTCGTCTAATCTTTTCTATTATCGCCGCCTCTAATTCTGCAGCAGTTGCCTTAATAATTACACTTCACTGTGCTGATATTGTTTGAGAAACTTGACAAACTTATATTTTTGCCAGTCTCTACGTTGGTTCTGACTGATTAAACAGTGATATTACCAAGAAAGTGGTTATTAGTTCCAAAACTTCCTAAACAAATAGTAGTTTTATACCAACAGACATTGAATCATTTAGTCCTGCATGTGAGTTTTACAGTCACCATATATGTACAAAATCCACTTATATCTGGTCTTATGATGTAGAGACAGTTCATAAACCTCTTGTTGGTTTCCATCAAGTTAATCTTAAGTACCTCTTATCAGTAGCTTTTACTTCTCTTCATCATTTAAAACAATAAATTTGTTTTCATCATATATACTTCAAATAACTAGTTATATAGTGACTTAAATTTCACCATTATGTCCGGTAAATGGCTTAAAAGTCAATCAGTCTATCTTATTAGAAGATACCTTTGCTACAATATACATCATAATGCTAAAATCAGCGGTAGATCAAAATATATTTCACTTTCATCATTTGATAAACAAAAGTGAGTAAAATTCCCGTGCTTTTATAACTGTATTTGACTTTCATAGTTGCGCTTGTGTTTATTTATAAAGCGATTTCATGTTTTTACATAGATATACGTATTTATTTTAACTAAATTTCGCGTTTATTTTCCAGTGTAATTGAACATCGATTTTACGGTCCCTTATGATCACAAGTTGGTTCGCGCTCCATTCACCTATTTAGTTATGGGTGTGGACAACGTCTCTGTAAAACTAGATTATAATTATTACAAGAGTCGCTTATTGTTTTCCATCATTATCAAAGGCTACACAGTAGCATATTTATCATTTATAAAGGATTTGACGTAATCTATATCTTTTTTAGAAGAATCCCCATTCATTAAATATATACTTATACAGAACATTTCTTTATTTTTAGGGCTATATTAACAACTGGGAGGTTCAATGTCAAATTTTGGACACAACTCTTAAAAGCATAGTTAAAACAAACTCTGTAGGTAGTTTTTATCCTCTTATTATGTTTTTTTCCAGCAAAATTCTTTATCTGATCATAATCTAATTGTTACTGAGCCGTATTTCAACTTTTCATCAACTAAAGAAGCTATGAATGAAATCTTTTTTGAAGATTATCAAGTGGCTGGTTTGATCCGCACAAATCGTAAGTGTTAGTCCGACGATATATACATCTAACTGATTTTTTAGCTGCATTTTTAAGCGCTTACAAATATAGAAGTGAATCAGCTCAACGTCTTTCAAGATATTGTATAGTTATTGACTCTGGATACTCATTTACGCACATTGTGCCCATGGCTGATGGATTTGTTATGAAAGATTTCGTCATACGGTATTTACCTTTTCAATGAGGATTTCTATTGTCTTTCTTAAAAAACTTATTTTTAATTGTCTATTCAAGGCTAACAGTAGGTGGGAAAATTCTTACAAATCGTTTGATTGAAGCTGTATCCTATAGGTAAGTTTTATAATTGACTATGACCATAATTTTCTCTCCATAGACATTTGGATGTTCGAAGTGAGATATATATAATGAATCAGTGCAAAGAAGATGTATGTTATGTATCCACTGACTTTTGGCAAGATATGAAGATTTCTCGGTGAGTCTTTTTAAAATATTGTCGTTTGTAATGTGGTACCGTATGCTTCATTTTTAGGAATAGCGGGGATTTCTTTTCTCGTCAATTATTGTATTTTTAGTACCATGCATCATCTTTACATGATTCTTATTTCAAAGTGATCACTTCCACATTAATTAAAAGGTTAAAGTATAAGACATTTCTATGTGTACAGCTAACCCCAAAAGTCCTCATTGTGCACAGGTATTGTGAAGCTCTCCGTGGTTAGTCACCACAACCTTCTGAGTATTATATTCATTTGTTAGTATGATCATTTATTTAATACCATAAACCCGTAGCATGTTTGGTGAAAATTATTAAAAAGTTTGAGGATATACTTATTCCATATGAACCATAGAACAAAAGGCAATTAAACTGTACTATTATTTGAGAACATCTCAATTCTCTGATTTTATTTTGAGCTTTTCGGTCCGATTCTTCACGTTGACGAAGTGGAGTTTAATCTACTTTGTTTTTTTCCTTCCTCATTAAAGGCAAACGAAACATTGTTTGACTTCACGCTTCCTAAGTGTTGTGTTTTTGTGTGATCTATTACATCATTTCGTTTTTCATTTAATTTTGTTTTATCATATAAATAGTGCATATAATGATACTTCTTATAATGCTTAGCATCCTATAATTCACAAAATCCTACATTTATTTGAAATAATTACGAAAGATGTTCAATAAAAATATCTTTTTAGAATACGCAACCAAAAAAGACAGTGTAAATGCTGTTGATCAATATATTGAATAATAATCCCTTGTTCTGTAGATAGATAGCTACACACCTGTCCATTTTTGTTGAGTGCTACCAAACTATCAAACAATATTTGTTAGTAGGTTTCTCGTCTATCTTTACTTTTTTTTACATAGATCGAACCAAAAATCAAATAGCATTTTAAGAGAATATGTACTACCAAACTATGTCGATGTACACCGTGGATATGTTCGTGATCCGAATGCGGTGGCTTCTGAAAATAGTGGTAACGATAAATCAGAACAACGAGTTTCCAATCTGTCACAGCAAGGATATGTATTGCGTTTGAATAATGAGCGTTTTACAGTTCCTGAACTGATTTTCCATCCATCTGATGTGGGCTATCAAGAAATGGGGCTTACAGAAGCTATCCATTACTTAATGAGTGAACGATTACCGGCTGCAGTAAGACCAGGAGCTTGGGCAAATTTTATGGTTATGGGTGGTAATGCATGTTTTCCAGGATTTGCTGAACGATTGTAAGTCTTTATTAGGTTTTATGTGAATTCAAGTAAATTTTCTACTAAATTGTCATCAATATGGCTTTTCGTCATTCCATACGGTACATATGATATGGTGCTAAAATTAATGTTGTTATCTGTATACACTCATGAAATTTACAGCTGTCAAAAGCCAGATGAAACCATTGTTCTCAAAGTTCGGTGGAAATTTTAACTTCACTAAAGAAATTCGTTCTCATAAATAGGCGATTTTTACAAATATATTGATGAGTTACTTAAATCACGAATTAAGTAGCCAAATGATCTTGTATTAAAATATTTTTTTGATGGCCTTTGTATCGGACTGGATAACTGTTTACTCAATGTAATAAGGTTGTGACAATACAAAATTTAAACTTGAAAGGCATTACAGTCAATTTAATGGGAAATACTTTAGATAAGATTATTTGTTCTGTTTACTTTCATTTATATATGAAAGTCAACTGCAGATACTCTTCTTCAATAGAAAAACTTATTTTCTCTTAAATAAATAAATTCCCGATTGGATTTATTCTCTGACGAGTTCAGCCAAATGTGTTTCTTAATCTGGATAACTTATACCCTAAAAGACATTATGTTTTAATCTTGAATTTATATCCATAAACAGATTTCTACCGACCATGTAAACGGGTTTTTAAGTAAAACATAGCTAATACTGTGTATGTGCTACTGATGTCGATATATATAAGTAGTATGTATCACCACTCGAAAGTAGAATGCCCGGCAGCAGAAGGTTGAGAAAATCGAAGAGAAGAGAACGAGAACAAAGAGTGATTGGTATGGAAACAAGAAACAACAAAGTCTGAGACAATTGGTGGATATTTTGTAAATGAAATATTACTGTATGGTTCTCAGATTTTACTAAGAGATTCTATAATTTTGTATTCCAATACATTTGGATACCCCCACTCGTGTTCTCGCTCATTACAGTACATTTAAAGTGTTATGACGGCGTTATAAGCATGATTTTAATATTCAGTCGTAACTTAGTGTTCAAACTCTATTGCTGCTGAAAATTTTTATTGAGTTCCATTTACTTAGATTAACCTACTCTGCAGCCTAGAATTATTGTTCACTCTGGGACTCAAACACAAGTAAGTGGCTATTTAGACTCAGTAGCTAATTGGATAACATGATGACGTCCTATTCTAAAACAACTTGTGTTGTATTGGCTATATGGAGGCCATTTGTACAGGATGCATTTATGCCAACCAAGACTGGTTAGATTTTAGTCAAAAAATATCAACAATGGGATGATCCAATCCATTTCAAATTGAATTAACGATATTAATGTTTTAAGCTAGAAATAATATCCCTAAATTTCTCACTATTTAGATAGATCACAAATGTTACTAATCAGTTCAATAGGGCTCATTGGTTTTTCAGCATTAAAATGTCAACCACTGTGTTCGCTGCTGGGAAACTGTCCTTCTAGTTTATTCGTAGCAGCGGGTTACTATTACTATCCCTCAAATACATATGCATGTACTTTTTTACATATAAAAATATAATTGTTTTGTGTTTAATAATGTAACCGGGATGTGAGTCAATCTTTGAAGCTCATTTACAGAGTCTCGTATTAGATCAAATTATACCTGCTCATGACTTGCAGTAGCTAATAAGTTTCATGTTATTAATACAATAATTTCCTTTCTTATCAGTTGTTAGTTTGATAAAATTAATCAAACACTAATAATCACACTTTAATGTCTTATCTTCAATTAGTAACTTCTTTTCTTCCACTTAACCATTACTTATGGAATATGTATATTTTTTGCAGAAATATCTGTTGTGATTTTTCCTTTTGGTCTTCATGATTTGACGTATACATCCATCCGGTTTGTTGTATTCTCTATGACATGTGTGTTAATTCATTACCTATGAATACCTAACAATACAACGTGTGCTTGTGCATAATACACGTTGTAGACAAAGTGTGCACATTTGTGTTTATCCTTTTGTGAGGTCCGACAATGTTTTGTATGTATGTGTGTTTGTATTTAAGTCTGTTTGATATCCTATGTAAAAGAAAAAGTCCTTGTGACTTTTCTATCGATCGATGAAGTAATCCGAACATGTTGTATTAAGTTTGACGCTACGCACCAAAATAGGTCGTATAAGCTTTCTCCGAAAATTCTTCATGAAACAAGTAGTGCGTTGCATTTTGCTCTCTTATGTTCATCACGTTGATTGTGGTATAATAAAATTCGAATACCTTGACAAAGTCAATCAAATACTTAAGAACAGAACACAGACATCCAACCAAGGTTACAAATAAAAAGGTATAATAATAGATAATGAGATATCTGGTGAATTCCAAAATAATAATCAACACAAATACTCCCTGAAAGTAAGTGTTACCTTAATCACTAGTGACTAATCATATTGAAGCTCTTCGGGTTTTGAAAGGGTAGTTGTGGATTTTCCAACTAGTTACTGGCATTTACACATATGATAATTGTGATTAAATGATAGGTCGATTATGATCGCAGTTGTGTTAAGTCCAATGGCATAAAAACTACTATTCTCTTTATAGGGTTTTAACTCTATTCCTTAAGAATGTCATAGATGTAAACTGCTGAAACACGAAAGACAAATAACTGGCGTTTACTACCTAATTTCTTCAAGTCTATTCTTTGTTATCCATTTATGAAGAAAATCAAATTTAATTCGGACGAAAAGCATTACACATTGCTCCATGACATTCTTACCATGGTGTTTCTTGTTGATACTTCTCGTCAACTGATAAGTACTGTCCTTTACGATTGAAACCAATATTAGACTCATGTATCCCATCTATTTAAGATATACTAATATATAAATAGTAAATGTCATTTTATACGGTCATACATTTTCAAATTATAACACAATTTCCCCGTACGAGTTAATCTTTTCTTTCAATATTAGTTTGGAGTTTCTCACTTGTTTATTGCTTCATTGTACGTGCATTCATACATATTGTTTTTTTCTAATATATTTCGAACATTTACTACTCAAGACAGTTTTAATTAAATATACTATTATTATTTGAAAAGCGACATTAGTCAGTTCTCATTATCTTTTATAAATCCTATCTGGGATTATTATTATTATTATTATTATTATTATTATTATTATTATTATTATTATTATTATTATTATTATTATTATTATTATTATTATAGATGATTAATCTTAAAAACGTTAAGAACATACTTCTAAATTATCTATGTATTGACATATTCAGTTTCTGTATATTAGTTGCGTGTTACGAACACTTTACTTGTCATTAATTCTTTTTTTTAATAATAAATTCGGTTAACTTGTTTATATTCTCTTATAACTGAAATTAATTAAGACTTTGATTTTGTATACAACGACAAATAGAGTTAGCGTTTCACATGACACTAATATATCTACAAATTAGAATATGTCATTTTCACTTATGTAATGTAGTAATAAAATAATGGTATTATAATATCCCGATAAATAAACCAATAAAATTTCTGATATTTCATGACTTAGGATAAGTCACTTCTTTTGAAAAGAAGAAAATCTTGATTTATACATGTATGTATCCGGGTTTTTTTTAAAAAAAAAGAAACTTGTTGGAATAGTTTCTGCTGAGAATTCTATATTGTACTAAATATATAATATTGAATAAAGCTATTAACAATAATAATATACGGTACATAAATCTAAATACTACAAGAAAATAAGTCAAATGTTTGGTACAAACAAAGTGGTTGAATTATGCCAATGTTATGTCATTCAAGTCGAAGGTGATTCTGTTTTATATAGTGCTCTTTCTATAATATTAATCACATTTCTCTTATATATTTTTCTGCATATGTTAAGAATGTTTCATCTCCAAGTAAACACCTATTTCGTAGGTTTGAATTTCTGTTTTTCTCTGTCCAAATTTTCTCACGGGTTTTTTCATTCAGATTTTTTGTCCAACTGGTTCCTCAGTTACCCAATATCTTCAAGCAACCTGAATAGCAAATTGCTATAAGTTCTTCAACTCTAAGTGAGGTTGAAAAGGCTATAAGCAATCTAACGCGAGGGTGAGCAGCAGGACTTGATGAACTAACCCCTGAGATTTTTACGGATAGTGGTCCAGTTTTATCAGTTAGATTAACTGAGATCTTAGCTAAACTCTGAGAACTAAAAGTAATCTCATCTGACTGGTCTTCATACCTAACCGTCCCAGTCTATAAGAAAAGACAAATATCCTCTTTTGACAATCACAGAGTAATCAGTTTAACTAATATAGTAACTAAAATGTTAGCCTCAATAATACTTCGACGTCTAACTACTGCTCGTGAGGAATAAACCCGAGAAAGCCAGGCTGGTTTCTGACCTTGACAAAGATGCATAGACAAAATTCATCTAGATTCGGACCCTCTGAATTCCTCATAATTCTCCTTATTTCACTAATCTATATTTTCTTCGATGCCTGATCTTTTCTGCTAACACTGATATTGTTACTACCTCTACTATTTCGGGATTCGGACTGACAATTTCATCTCTTTGTACATACGTATACGTACCAGGTCCTACGTCGTGACTAACTGACCGACTGAATTTCATTTTCAACGTGACAATAACATGCTGTTTTCCATTTACCTCTCAGTTCTTTTGATGTGTTAATCTCTCGCCCTATTTGTAGAGTTATTGTAAATGTACACGTGTACTGTTTCGTTGAATCAGTCTTCTTTGGTGTCTACCAATCCATCTTCTTCATAAAATTTGTTTTTTGGGGAGTAGCCGACGTTAGAAAAGAAAGGCAGTTGTGAAATGCAGGTAGCGAAGCATAGCTAGTAGCTATTCATATTTTCTCTTAATATCCCACCATAGATGAAACATCCGAAATTGTATTTGCAGAAAGTTCTTAAAATCTATTTATTCAAACTCGTTTTTACTGATAGTCTCATACACAACGTAAAACCTGGCAAATTTTTACTTTGAAGAGAAGTTGTAAATTGACCATACGATACTACCAAACATGAATTATTGAATTGGTTTAAGAAACTTTACTGAAGCACACAGTTAGTGGAAATGTAATAATCAACTCTATTAATTGTAATGAATGAATTCATTTCTTCTTAACATGTCCTCTTTTTATTGCTTGTGTTGGGGTTATCAATATTAGTTTGTACAATGGTCCCATCTGTTTGTTTTTTACATAAGGACACGACTTAGTTACCTTTTACCAATTACCTAAATCAATCCTTTTACAGTTCCAAACCAACTCCATACAATTTATGTTTCATAGTGTTATTATTTTACATACAAAGGGTGTGGTTTAGTAGATTGAATCATTTAACTTTCTACCATTAAATTCCAAGTTCTATTTTCTTTTTATCTACTCAAGTGTTTAAGCAGTTAGGTAGTGTTATTAACTTTTCTATTCATAAAACAAATTTCTATTTGATAAATAAGTTACATTAAGTTCAAGTTTTAAGATGTAACTCCATTATTACTAATTTGTTATTACCTTATTTCATTAATTTGTTTAGTCTAAATAATTTCATGTATTTCTATCATTTGTACAACCTTATTTTATCAAGTTAATATTAATGAATAAGGTCAATCATTCAGACTGTTTTTTTTGTTGTCCGAGAAATTCATTACTAACAAAAATTGTTTGTTTTGTTTTTTCAAATGAAAATCATGATAAACTTTTCATAAAGTAGTAATGTGTTCATAATTTCAAACTAATAAATTATCAAAATGGGTTTTGTGAAGATTTTTAGAAATGTCACTTGTTGAAATCATGAATCAATCGAAGCTAGACCACCATGGAAAACCTGGAAGCACTGAACGGCCGTTTCGTCCTAGTATGGGACTTCTCGGCGGTGCGTATCTACGATCCCGCACCCCGTGGGATTCGAAACCAGGACCTATCAGTCTCTAGCTTCAATTGACTCATGATTTCAACAAGTGTAATAAATTAAATGTTCATTTGACTTTTTGTTTTTATTTGTTGGTTTTAGATCATGAAATTTCTGAATTTTGAGCTATTTGTTTAAATTTGATTTTACATATTTTATTCAATATAAGTATAATTCTTATTAGTTTACTTTCTTTTGAGAATATCATGTAATTGTTTGTTTAAATTGAATTTAATTAGATCAACTAATTACAGTTATCTTTTATTTCAGATAGAAATTATTTTATCTGTCTAATAGATAATTAATTGTTATCACACATGAAGCTTTATATTGTACAGAAGTTATAAAGTTCATTTTATAATATCTGTGGGTATATAAGAATATAGATTCGAAAAACAGTTGCTAAGTTTTTAGTTGAATAAGTGATAACTTTACAACAATAATGTATGTGTATTATCTATTTGCTTATTTTGACTAGATTTACACTCTTTTGTAAATTTTTATTACAGACAAAGAGATATTCGTACTCAAGCACCTGATGATCTTCCAGTAAATGTCTTTAAACCCCCTAAGTAAGTTGTATTTTTCTTCTACTAACTCTCATTTTTAAGATAAATTCTAAAAGCTGCTTTTTGATTGTATCAAAGACTATGACATGTTATTTGGAGTGTTTTCTTCGAGTGGTATTCGTTGAGAATTTATAGTCTTCCTTTTTATTGGACTTCTCAGAAGACATACTTTTGAAAGAAATACCTGTTTCCTCCAACTTACTATAGATCCATCACTTTCTAAGAAATCTAATCAACATCAACAACAAGGAATTAATCTTGTTGAGTGAAGATGCTGATAAAGGGTGTTTCATTTGCTTTCGGAGACTTCGTCACTTATGGTGGGTTGCTGGCTAGCGAACTGTTTGCTTAAACACTAAGCGCTTGCTTATCTCCATTTTAAGCCATTTACAGTTCAAGATTATTCGAAGGTCTAGTAATCAGCGACCAAGTTATTAGGTAGATATTTGTTTTGTTATTTCACGACTGAGACGTGACTATTAAAGTTGGGAAGTAGGCACTATTTTGTGATATGTATCTCTAAAGCACTTCTGTGCGGTTGGGACCACTAGCCTCTGCTGAATGGGTTGTTTTTCACATATTTTATATATTTCTAGTCATTTCATACCCTAGCATAATATTTTTGGCTAAAATATGAACAGAATAAAAGAAAGTTTAGGACGACCAAAACAAAAAGTAGCATCAACCCATCAAGTCACTATGAATCTGGGTCGTATAAGCTTCCTCATTCGGATCAGCGAAATACAGCTCAAAACTAATGGTTGTCTTAGATCCATCCACCTGTTTTAAAATGTTTTTTTCCTTTGTCTTTCTTCCTACAGTTCTTTACTTTTATTGCATTATCTAGACCTCCACTCACTGTACTGATGGGAAATGCGATGATAAGGATGATCACAAACATTTTTAAATCTGACCCTGTCTGTGGTTTTTAAATAAACTTGTCTAAACTTTGATTCTGACTACAATACTTGCTGTGTTTTTTTGGTCGTCAAAAGTTGTCAGGTAATCCATAAAATATTTCTCGCTTCGGGTTAATATCTTTTAACGTATCTTCGGTTTCAAAATAACTTGTTTCCCAATACAGACTTGAACCCTCAGTTTTGTATCATTTGGCTCAATGAATATACTGTGCATTTTTTTACTGGATAAAACGACTAATTGTTAAACCAAACCCAGTAAACGTTCTTGTGCACTAGGTTACATATTTTTTATGATGAACGTTATGGCTAGTTAAGTTTAGTGCCTTTTCACAATAATTGCCTGTATTTAACAGTTTCTTTTTTTGCTACTTTCGTTTTTCTACACCAACATTAGTCCTCAAACCTACGCTTGGGAAGGTGGTGTTTTGTTTTGTCAAAATTCAGATTCATTCAATCATTTCTTAGTTACGCGCAAAGAATATGAAGAGCAAGGATCTAGTTATTGTGAAAAACGATTCCCTATTTCTTGAATTTCTATTAATATTTATGCTTTTGTACAATGAGACAAAGAATATGTATAAATTTATTCAATATATATAGGAATAATAATGGTAACAACACATTATTTCGTTCTTGTGTCATAATCATCAGTATTCGTATTAAACCATTTCGCTAAGCAAAACCGAATAAAAGTTTGTTTAAAATTATAATGAAATTAAGAAATTCCAGTTCAAAGAAATAAAACAGAACTGAGAATATCATTGTTCGTTTAGAAAGAAAACAGAAATAATATTTCACAAATAAAATAGACATTATCACGCGAGTGCTGTTTTGCGCGTACATTAAGTGACAGAGAGAGAGAAAGTATAAACACACATCAGTTCTGAGTATAGTACATACAACATAAGAAAATAGCATAAGACCTTGGTAACAGTTGTGTAAAAAGTTCTCGGATTTTCGAACTAGTCACTAATAATATAAATGAATAGTAGTCGTGGTGGCAGCAGATAAGAAATGTAAGAATAATGATGTGACTTGCAGGAATCCTATCAGTTAAAAATAGTAAACGACAAATGTTTGCATACAGCTTTTCTTCAGAAAAGTAATTGAAATATATGTATGATGCAACAATTATAGTTATAAATTATTAATTAAACAATTAAGACTGTCCGTATTATTATTAAATAAGTGACAGAGATCATTCTATAAATCATGATATGATACAATAGAATTATGGTCATCTCGGGAAAAACAGATACTTGTTATACTTACCAGCCATGTGTAAATAAACCACTGAGCGTTTAGAGAAAAAAAAGTAAATGTAAGAAAAAATTAGTAGGCAAATTGATCTATTTTATGTTGTATAAATTGTACAGATTTATCTATCTTACAGCGTGAACAAACGAATGCTCCATGTTGTTTGTTGTACATTTGTACGTTTATTCGTTAAACAACAAATAATGGTCATAGAAAGAGAATTAAACATTATATCGTTGATGTATTTGGTACATAAATTGCAATATTAGCACTCATATGTTGTTTAGAAATAGAACAAATGAGAAAAGACAAGTGTAGAAATTTGAAGAAAAACAAACAAGGAAGCCAATCAAATATAATTGTTCTATACGTAAGGAAGAAGATTAACAATGAAATGATTGTTACAAAGAAAAGTATGGGAGTGGGCTAGAAGTAGAAATACCGTCCAATCCATTGTAATATATCTTCTTGAAATCGTATTATTAAAATTTAAATAACAAAATGTAATACAGCATTAATTAACAGTAATAAAAGTGAATATTTTCTCTTATTGCACTTAAATGCATCTCATTATAATCACTTATCAAAATTATTAATTAATCCTTCAATTGAACATTACAAATTAAGACCATACAAACAAATAAAAAGAAATTGAAAAAGATTACAGAAACACTAATAGATAATAATCGAATAAACATTACAAATATAAAATATGTTGTAATATCATTTTACAAGAAATAATTATTAAATTAAAAATAATCATGATAAATGACTAACTTGATCTTGATTTTTCTCAATTGTTCTATCTTTTACGCTTAAAGAACTAAAAATTACTAAGTATGAGATAATTATTATTGTATAATGTATATTACATGTATCATTAATGCAAAGAAGAATCCAATTAATGCGAGGTACCATTAAATTGTGATGTATTATTTTAATTATAACAATTTTTTGCATAGAATAATTATTCACAACAATAATAAGGTTATGTTAAAGATGTGTAAATCGTAATCCATATAGTACCAGATGGTATGTGTATAAAATCGAAATTTCACAGTATGCTGTGGGCTTGACTAACAATTAATACAATATTCTTTTCCCTTTTTTAAAAAAAAGAAAGACTATTTCGAGAGAAAAAAGCTGGATGGTGGAAGTATCCATCCACTTCACTATGTGTTTGTGTGTGTAATTCATCAAAATAAAAATCTTCCTGGTGTAATTTGAGCATTTCGATAAGTTTCAGCTAAATAAGCAGCTTTTGGATCACTTTTTTCTGAATGTGTAGTATTATTATATAAGGTTAAATCTCCTCTCTGTGATAATTGTTCATTTAATTGTCCTGAATGCTGATGATGATTGTAAGAACGATTAGTTTGATTAAATAAATTTTGATAGTTTATATGTGCATTTGGTGGTTGTTGCGAAATGATTGAATGTTGACGATTCATAACTTGTGCTTGTTGTTGATATTGATGGTATGCATAAGCGGCAGCGGCTGCCGCTTCAGCTGCTGCTAAATTAGATACTTCATTAATCGAATGAACTAACTGACTAGCATTATTTGACTGAGATTGTTCTATAGATTTAGATAAAGCATTATGCATGATATTTGTTCTTTGATGTAAATGAGACGAGTAAAGTGGATTAATGCTACTATCAAGCACATTTGTAGCACCGGGATTATGTTCTGTATAATTTGTATTCGAATATTCACTAGTTGAATTATTATTACTAGAAAACATATATTCATTCAGTAATCGATTGTTAGATGGTACTGATAACTGTGTATTGTACTGATTATTCCCAGTTGAATGATGACGAGACTGATTTTGAGTACATGATGACCCAGTTGGGTTGAATTGATTATTACGTAAATTTTCAAAATGGGCTTCTTGGAGCATAGATGAAACAGGTAATCCACCAATAGTTTGACTATCACATCGACCTGTAAGTATGAGAAAAATTAGTTGATGGTACCACTAATTAGCCCAAACTACTTATTAATGCAACTACATAAAGCGTAAACTACTTACCGTATTAAGAATCTTTGAATAAGCTTGAATCGAATTTAATTAAAACTTCTATTTATTTTCAAAGTTTTATGCTTAGTTTTAAAACTATTTGATAAAAGCTTTGACTAAAATTTGACTTGCATACAACCCATTCATTTGCTTAAACTAGTTTCAGTGAAATATTGAGTGAAAAAGTCAAACTCCTATGCCAAAGTGCCAGAGTAAGAATTATAAATCCAGTATTTTCTATGAATTACCACTAGCCATGAAAATTAATTTGTTTTGTAGATCGTTCAAATTATTCACCTGCTTTCTGGAGTCTTGTTTAACTTATATGAAAGCATGAATAATTCAGACAAATTCGCATACAATTTTCAAAGTCGAACAAAAATACAACATAGAGTTATTTGCAAATTGTTTTAATAAACTAAATATATCACTAATGTGTATCAAGTCACTCTGTACAGGTTTAAAACAATTCATTTACTAACAGTTATTGCGTAGTAAACAATTAAGGCCTAAAAATACACAAAACTCTCTCGAGCTAAACAGGTCATCTATTTGAAAAAAGTTAGAAAACCCTAGATAGAATACTACAATCATAAATATAGACTAGACAACACCAATGATCCCATTGCAACTTACAGAAAAACACGGATATTCATAAAACTTATCGATAGCACTCTGGAATCCTTCATGCAAATTTTGACAGAACAAGTCGAAAAAAAGTAATTAATTCTCCGAATATACAGACTAATATAACGAGAAGAATTCCAAAGTCATTAGCTACGGTGTAACCACGACTCTCTTCTTTGAACAGTTAGTTATACAATATCTGGTACGACAGTTGTAGTAATATTATCTTGATGGCAGAATATAAGTTTTATTTTCCTAACATTTGGAATTAAATTAGTTAGTGAGTGGTTATTTCTTTTGATATCCCATTCAATTTAAACATAAGGTTCGATTTCATGAGTTAATTTTGATTCAGTCATCTCACTCAAGTGATATTTCATTTTGTATTCCTCACAATTTCCCCATACCAAAATCAATTAATTTTTCAAAACATAGAGACTAACAGTATAAAAGAGTTCGTTTTTTAGGATACACATTATTTTTTTCAAAAGTTTAAGTTACTGTAAACCTATCCTTGGATTTTAAGTAGCCCAAATTAAAATACATTTTCTCATTCTTGCATTCACTGTTGAAATTATAAAATAAAACTATGTAAAATAAGGTGGGTTGTTCCTTTCCAAAATAATTCACATTTGTGGTAATACATATGTCTCATCTCTTTTTTCTATCGTTCAAAGCATACCCGGATTTCTTCAGACGTCAGGTTATTCAAAGGCCTCAGAAACGAAAAGAAATTACATGTCACAAACTTATGGGCGATCACTGCTGAATGTCAAGGTAATTTCCGCAATACAGTAGCAATTCATTGATCGATTAGTAACTGAATAATTATAAGCTACCAAGGCGAGACTGACTTTAGATGATAGATCTTTAAGTACAATTCTACTGCCTGTATATTTAATTCTCTCCAACTAATAATCGCAAAAGTCCGATTTCTGTGTGTATTTGACGGACTACGAATTTTGTTTATGTTATAGGCACATTTGATTTGTTCTCCGTGTAAGGAAATTCTCGTAGTAATAAATAGAAACACCTAAATAAGAGGGTATCAGACTAAATTTGAGCAAAATTCATAAGAGATTTGGGCAAATAGTGGTAAAAAACTATCTGATTATTTCATAGTTTCTCATCCAGCTTAATATGTACATTTGTATATTCCCTTATTTTAACAGTGAAGCACTTAATAAAATTAGTACAAGGTTTTATAGTTACATACACACCACATCAGATCAATTGTCAAACTGTCAACAACAAAAAACAATGTTCTTAAATGCACTAATAAATCAGGTCATTATTATCAATAAAATCCAGGAGTGCGAATCTCTGTTTAAAAATTCAATAGTAAAAATAAACCCAAATGCATTTCGGTAATTTCAATTCTACTTACATAAGTGTACTAAGCTGGGCCAAATCCGATGGAAAAAATTAACAAAATTATTCAACTGTGATATCGAAGTAAAAGGTAAAATGTTGAACACAAAAAGCAATGATCAAAAACTAGTAGAAAACAGGTTACTTAAATGTTTAGAAACAAAATGTGCTGGTCTTGACACTCAAACTTATCAAAAATGCATGAACTGACCTTCAAATTTACTGAATGACAGATTTACCAATCGTAACGTCTAGAACTAGACTGTTGAACTAAGTGGATTTGAAGCTCCTCAAGGTTGAAGAGATAACCTGTACGATATAAAAAGCACAGAACCTAAGACCTTAACGTTGTACGTATTAATTTTGTAGTCCAATGAGAAACCTACTCATTCCAGATATATCCAACAAACTCGTTTAAAAAAAACAAGATGTGGATTAAATCCAGAATATTCTGAGCACCTTAACCAACAATACAAGTATGTGTCGGATGCGGTTCTCTCCCTCAAAATCCAAATCTTGCTTCAGAATTGGCTTGCATCAGCGCCTGAATTATTGATAGGAATCAAAGTAGTTGAACGCATCAACCGCTTAACTTGTCTCTGAATCTCATCACTCCTGATAGTCTAGTGTCTGACGAAATCTCGACATGGAGAGATATCTGTCCCTTAACCAAAGGAAGATCCTACTGCACAGCAATTCGCTCCGTTCGACTTTGTGGGTGTGAAACATGGACATTAAGAATTAAGTATTCGATCGTAGTATCTTCGAAGCATTGATCGTGTATCTTGGAATCACCGAGTGAGCAATACCTGAGTATACAATACGGTATTAAGTAAGGATGGGAGATCAATCGATGAGGTGGTCAATCTTCATCAACAGAAGTGACTGGGTATTCGTAACACATGTCCCAAATATCACTTACATCGATGGACGATGCTGTGTGTTGTTGGGACTAGATAGGTAGAAAACAAGTAGGGACGGTCAAACCAAAACATCTCATCAGTCCATGAAGTCACTGACAGTTGGATTAAGCCATATTAACATGTGTAGACCACCTTGTTGGGGTCTGTGTAATTATCGAAACCAATGTTCAGAGACTTTGAATGACGTGGCCCAGAATTGTTTGCAGTAGTTCAGCTTCTTACATTCTGTCTTCTCCTAGATTCGGACCCTCTAAATTCCTCACAATTCTCCTTATTTCACTAATCTATATTTTCTTCGATGCCTGATCTTTTCTGTTAACACTGATATTGTTACTACCTCTACTATTTCGGGATTCGGACTGACAATTTCATCTCTTTGTACATACGTATACGTACCAGGTCCTACGTCGTCACTAACTGACCGACTGAATTTCATTTTCAACGTGACAATAACATGCTGTTTTCCATTTACCTCTCAGTTCTTTTGATGTGTTAATCTCTCACCCTATTTGTAGAGTTATTGTAAATGTACACGTGTACTGTTTCGTTGAATCAGTCTTTGGTGTCTACCAATCCATCTTCTTCATAAAATTTGTTTTTTGGGGAGTAGCCGACGTTAGAAAAGAAAGGCAGTTGTGAAATGCAGGTAGCGAAGCATAGCTAGTAGCTATTCATATTTTCTCTTAATATCCCACCATAGATGAAACATCCGAAATTTTATTTGCAGGAAATCCCTAAAATGTGTTTATTCAGCCTGATGTTTTGTATGTGGGCTTGGATGCTGACCCGGTGCCCAAACTAAACCAGGTGTTTTTCTTAGGAAGGCCACTACCGAGCCTCGGTCACAGATGTTTAATCTACAAAGCACTGAAGTAATGTTAAGGGATAAGTTCATATGGTTTCCGGCGACCGAGAATTGGTCTATACGCCATTCGTTCCCTTAGAATCCTGAAACCCATATGTACTATTGCAAATAATGCACATACGTGTTACAGACGTTCAACTACATGAGCATATGCATACTATTCATAAAAGCGATTCCTACTTATACTTTCTCAATGAAGAAAAAGCTTAATGCTTTAAAGAATATAAATTCACTGACAATGATAAATAACTTATGAAGTCAGTCATAACACTTCATGTTTTCCTATTATTTAAAACATCAGGTGTTATAACTAACCATGAAATAAAAACCGTATGATTTTTTAATTAAATTAGAAAATATAACAATAAAGACATAAAAATCAATAGTAGATGAATAAACAAAACAACAACTGTTTTTTGAATCAACTAATCAGTTAAACAGAAAAAACAATGAATACCCTTATTTATTGTTAACATGAATCCAAAAGAAAAATAATAATACTGATTAGAAAATCCTTAATTTAAATGTGTTAGAGTTTAAGAATAAAAGTGCATTCTAATTCACCTTGTAAGGTCATTCCCACAAAATTCTCTAAGTATCTGAAGTCTACAAACAAAAACGAAACATGTAGACAGTATGTTTATTGAGATTCATCGGTAAGGTATGTTTATCTGTCTGAAGGAAACTAAGGTTATTTGAACTCAACGATACAGTCGAAAATGTTCTTGTTAAACTATTTAAATCCTATAAGAATCTATGAGAAACTGATATTCTATGATTTAGTTAAGAGGTTACAATATACTCGTTGATCAATAGACTTTTAACGGTACTTTAGTATTGAACTAATTGTAATCAAATAACTGACTGAAATCCTATTCAAATGACTAGTAACATGTTCAGTTTAGAAAAAAGCACTGGCATAGGGTATTATGAGAAGAAATATTTTTTATATTTGACTTTACTAACTGAAAATTGATGAAGCAAAGGGAATAAAGAGTGAAATTAAAAATATTTGAAGCCCTCATTATGATTCAAAGTAAAAGCAAGATTTAAAAAAGAAAGATAATTACATGTGAAAATTATATTTGAAATATTCTCAGCGATTGAAATTTAAATAATTCCAACGTTTCGTCCAGCT